AAGTTTGGTCGAATGAATCAATGAAAAATAGCAAACAAGCATCTTTGATTTGTACGAGCGATGTTCTTCTCTATCATCTATGATTTGTAGGGGAGAGATTCTCATGTGTCAATTGATTATGTAACTCCGTTATTGAAATGGAGGTTACGCAAGTTTGGGTCATAATAGTCTTTGTAAAACCTTGTCCGGAAAAAACCTAGTGAAAAAACCCCTAAACGAAGGAAAAAAAAAAAAAAAAAACTACGACACCCACATTACAAAATCTTCCTAAAGAGCATTAGGAATCAAAGCATGGCCTAATTATGAACGGAGTGCAGAAAACCAGTTTTCATCAATGAGTTGGTGCAATGTGATAATACGCTTTGGATTACATTAAGGAATGCATTAGCATGCTAAATTTTAAAAAAAAAAATAGAAATTGGTAGAGCGTAGAGAACCAGTACATAGAGAGCATTAGTGGAGACAAGAAGGAGGCCTGCATTTTGGGAGAATAACATAATGGTTTGTGTATTCACATGGCTCTGAATTTTTACATATTACAAGTTGACTTTGTACAACTAATTAAAAAAAGTAATAAAACAATAAATATAAGTGATTTATGAATCTTCTGAACGGTCTAGATTCATAGTATGTGATCAAGATTCATGATACTTTTTACATCCAATAAAGCGAAACGAGACAAAGTAGAGGTTAAGCTTGGAAGTGAAGAAAGAGAATCATTCACGTGAAAGGCCTTTGGTGAAGACATTGGCACTTTGGTGGTGAGATGAGATATATTGAGTAGCAAGAACTCCTTGGCAACCAATTCCTTGATAAATGATTAAAATGATAGTCAATTTCATAGCTCGTTTACTAACCCGTAATCGGAATGAGAATAAGGAATCCAATTCCGATTACGGATTATACATGTGTTTACTAAAATTGGGAGGAATCAAAAGTGCGTGGGGCCCACACAAAAAATGAAATCCTATTCCTGAAATTGGAGGATTTGGATTCCCAACATATACAAGGAATTTGGATTCCGGATTGCCCAAGCAATCGGAATAATAATTTTTTTTCCCTTATGCCCTCACTTACTTTCATTATTTCCAAGATTATCCTTTTAACCCTAGACTTATTTTTCTGAAAATGCTCCTAACAATTTCTTTCCATGTCCTTCTAGCTCATTAAGCATAATTCTATGCTCATTCACATTATGCACAACTTCATACATACGCCGAAGAGAAAAACTACAACTTGAGCGAGAAAATTTAGATATTAAAGTCAATACTTAAATTTATAAATAAAATAAACAAAAGCATTGTAGTATGTCTATGAAATAAAAAAGCAATTTAATTTTTTCTTACTATTATATACTATATCAAATTTTATTAAAAAAAGTATATAAAATATTTGATTTGAGACAAAGACATTTTAGTAATCATATTGGTTTATATTCCGATTCTGCTAAATTAGTAAACAGTTTTATGGAATTGTATTCCGATTCCGGATAGTTTTAGTAAACAACTTCAACAAGAATATGATTCTAATTCCACCTCATTTCAATTCATTCTCAATCGAATTCCTCCTCAATTTAATTCATTTCAATTTGATTACGGATTAGTAAACGCGCTATCAATGTGACAAGTTCGAGCATGGAAGACCGGTTTTGCAATGCAAGGTGAGGTACGAATAGGAAATCCAAGTTCATGAAAAATATAACAAAACCATCGTAGTTCAGCGGTTGTGGTGGCAAGAGCACGGTATTCAACTTCAGAACTAGAATGAGATACAGTAGTTTGCTTCTTAGCTATCCAAGTAAGGAGATTTGTACCCATAAAAATACATGCACCACTAGTAGACCTGGGATCATTACTGCTGCAACCCGCCCAATCAGCGTAAAAAAATCCTCGAAGAGAGTAGTCCTAAGAGGAGTGGAAGAGTACGCCATGCTCGATGGTGCCTTGATAGAACGATAGATACACTTGACTGCTTGGAGATGAATGGTCTTCATATTATGCATGAATTGAAATACTTGATTAACTGCACAGGCAATGTTGGGGACAAAGTTAAATATTTGAGCCCACAAACCATACTGCGATCAGTCTTCCGATCAGAAATGACAGCACCTTCACTCGCCGACAAGTGCGTGGAGGAAGGGTATGGAGTGGAACTTGGCTTGCACAGTTTCATTTTGAATTTCTTTAACACGATAGAAGCATAGCGAGTCTGAGAGAGTAAAAGATGGCTAGTTGTTCTTGTGACCTCCATTCCAAATAAAATTTTTAAGAACCTCTAGCTTACGACTAGCAAAAGTAGCACACAATAGATCGATAGACTTGTGAATGACAACTGAAACATAATAAATATGTAGATGAGTGATTGCTAAACAAAGAACCATCAGATTTGTTGTGGGAAAAGCATTGGCCACACAAGAATGTATTGAGTTAGAACCAAGTTTGAGGGGCTTAGTTCCAACCATCAGGCTTTACGAAGCCGACAAACATGCTGTGATCGTTACGGATCAACAAAGCTAGGTGGTTGTTTCATGTAAACTTCCTCTTCCAAAATCGTATTTTAAGAAGGCATTGCGCACATCGAGTTGTTGCAAAGACCAATTTTTTGAGACAGCTAAAGCACCTTTATGTGACGAAGGCTGAAATTTTGCCCCATGAACTATCTTTTGTCGCAAAATGTTTTTTGTAGTAAATGGTGGCAAATGGGCCAGGAACAAAACGTGTATGAAACAGTACCATAAAAACTAAAAGCAATATCAAATAGTTTTATTGGCACTACAAGGATATTTAATTTGTAGTAGACGACCACATATCGTGATAAGATTATAGTTTTTCATTGTCAAGTTTTTTATTCAAACATTCTACTTCTTCATTTCCCCTTTATTTCTTCCTTTTCTCCCTCCCTCAATTCTCCCTTCCACACATTTCGATCTTCATCTTTAACTACAAAAAGAAAACGAAAGTGTCACCAAAAACACACGTTTTCTAATACTTTGCATAAATTTCCAAGTCGCGTCGCTTCAAACTTCTAAATTAAGGGTTTATGTAGAACAATACCTATATGATGATATCACAGCATGTGCACAAAAATATATCTTACCATATATGATATCACAAGAGACCGAGTTGTCTATGTTTGTTGTCAGGATAAGCGGTTTGGACTAATGCATTAGCGTACAAAAGTTTATTGCATCAGACACATGAAGTCTTAATACAAATTAAATTTATTAGCAAACAAAAACCTGCTGGTTGCAACCAATAAGATCTGCAAGATCGTTCAAGGAATCATAAAGAGAACCACTCTTAACACCCACTTCTATGTTCTCCTTCAGTTCCATGGTCTTCACCCTCATTTCCTTCTCCTCAAAACCTACCATTAGTTTTCTGACAGCCCTCTCTATCTCCCCTCTCTCTATCTCATTCTCCAATTGTATGCCTATTTTCCTTACTTGGCTGAGATACATTGCATGTACCTTCTGATCGACAGAAAACGGCTTGCATATCATTGGAACCCCCTCAGATATACATTCAAGGGTTGAGTTCCGATCACAATGGCTCCAAAAACCTCCAACTGCGTCGTGAGCCAGAATTTCCTTCTGCAGTGCCCATTTCACAATGCAACCACTTTCTCCTATAACTTTTGTGAAACCTTGACTTGAGGCAATAGCTCAATCCAATCTGAACCACAAACTGATCCAGTGTTTTAATCATACATACATACATACATACATACATATTCTATGCAGGTACAAACTAATTTATTGTCATGTGGTGTGGGTACATTCTATGAAAGAAGAAAATCTACGAGTAAGTAATATGAGTGCATAATTGATATACCATGACCTAAATCAGGGCATGCTAGCCGTCATGTCCTTGATTTAGGTCGGGGTATGTCAATAATATAAACATAGAATATTGTCCCCTTATAGACATGGGTACATAATATGAACAAAAAAAATATTGTTCTTAATATATGGATACATATATAATATAAAATATATTTTTCTCACTTATTTTAATTTTTTTCTGGTAGATCCAATAAACAAAAGAGTGAAGAATTTCATTGTATTACCACTTAGTACTACGATGTACTGATATTCCTTTTCACTTATAAGTGAGAGGTCTTAGGTTCGATTTTTATCAAAGACAAACGAAGCTTCTTTTTTATAATTTGAGAAATTGTAATTTGCTACGCATATGTCAAAAGGAAAAAAAAAATTTCGCTGTATTAAAAAAGTAATTTAGTTAAAATGATAGTTAGTACTCAATTAAATTCCTATTTGTAATAAAATAATATAAAATGTTAATATGGAAATAATTCATAGGACATCAATCAAAAGTTTAAAAGACAAAAGGTTTTAATCAAGAAATGTCATCATAAGGGATTGAAACCTAATTGTTCTTTTCTATAATTTGAGAAATTGTGATTTACTACGCATCTGTCCAAAGTGAGTGTGCGGGCGTGTGCCCTATTAATCTGAGGACTCAAAATTAATACCAACTTCAAGTAATTTTTATTTTCATGCTTTTGTTTCTCCTTCTCCCTACCTCAACGCTTGTTCCTCCTCTCAAACAATTCAGTCTTCAACTAGTAATAGAAAAGAAAGGGTCACCAAACGAACGATGTCAACTCTTACATGATTTGACATGCCTCACTGTTCGTTCACAAATCAAGATCACGAAAAGGCCTACTCGACATTAGTCATGACCATTCAACATCCACAACCAAATAGTAAGGCTTTGGTGGGTGTGTGTTTATTTTCACGGCTCCATCTTATCTTTTTGGCTTTTATGAAACCATTTTTGTTTTATTTTTCATGTAACACATTGTTTTTCTGCCCTTTTTTTCCTTTGAGAAACGTTGATTTCATCACTCCATTAAGGAACTTGTAGGGTTAAACAAGTGAAACCCCCAAAATGAAAGAACAGAAAGCCAATGTTTTGTTCAAATGATTTACTATATATGTTTGTCAGTCAGCATAGTCCATGTTTGTATCAACTACATTACAGTGATTGACCAAAATTTTATAGATTAATGCATTAGGATACAAAGTTTTATTCCATTAGATGCAGGAAGCCTTATTACGAAATCTTATATGCATACAAAAACCAGTTGGCTGCAATTAGATTCTTAGAATGACCTAATAAGATCTACAAGATCATTCAAGGAACCATAAAGAGAGCCGCTCTTAAAACTCGCTTCTATTTTCTCCTTCAATTCCAAGGCTCTCACCCTCATTTCCTTCCCCTCAATATCTACCATAAGTTTTCTAACTGCTCTCTCTGTCTCTCCTCTCTCTATCTCATTCTCCAATTGTAAGCCTATTTTCCATACTTGGCTGAGATACCTTGCATGTACCTTCTGATCGTAGGAAAACGGCTTGCATATCATTGGAACTCCCTCAGATATACTTTCCAGGGTTGAGTTCCAACCACAATGGCTCCAAAACCCGCCAACTGCGTCATGAGCCAGAATTTCCTTCTGCGGTGCCCATTGCACAATGCAGCCTCTTTCTCCTATAGCTTTTTTGAAACCTTGAGGCAATAGATCGATCCAATCGGAACCACAAACTGAGCCAGGTCTTATCACCCACAAGAATGGTTGCTCGCTGTTAGCTAATCCCCAAGCCATTTCATCTAGATCTTTCTTAGCGATGGAGGCTAGACTCCCCAGGCTTACATAGATTACTGAGTTATGAGATTGCTTGTCAAGCCACTCAATGCAGCTGGTGTCTTCTTCTAGTAAACTACTAGAGGCTGCTGTTGCAATCTTGTGAAGAGGACCTATAGAGAAGATTGGAACTTGGCATTGCTGCTGGATCTGTTCTAGTGATGATTGTTCAAGGCAGTCCGGGGTGTTCCAAATGATGGCTGAGGATGTCCTCACATTTTGTGCATTCACCATTAGTTTCGAATAATTTTCAAGCGTGTCAAAAGTGGAGATGGGCAGATCCTTGAATCTGAGGGGATGAAGCTCAGGCACCGGTTTCAGTGACAATGAGTCTGTGATCCAGAGTTTGTCATAGTTACAAGTAATAAAAACTAACCTAACACATAAGTAATAAGACATATGGATTAGGTTCTTCCCTCATTGTCACAAAAACATTAGTTGAAAATAAAAGGTTTAGGATAAATATAGAATTCTCTACAATCTCACAATTTTCAAATATAACTTTAATTTTTTATTCTTCTCTATAAAAAGGTATTTATAAGATTACAAATGAGCAATATTAGGAAATAAATCAAAACAATCATTTGTCAACAAGACAAGGAAATCTAGACCAAATCAAATCATATCAAAACCCTAATGAAATCATATAAAATTAAATCAAATCCTAAAATACTTTCTATTTATTTTCCAAACCATCCCCTTCAAACCATGGTTCTAAAAAATACTAGACGTTAATCGGGCGGTAGACTGAGACTTATCGCCTAGGCGGGACTTAGGCAGATTTAGTAAATTTAACATAAATATATAGCTAAATATTGAGATATGTTAATTTTTAAAAAGAATAATATATATATATGTATGTAATTTTGTAACTTAAGATTTTTAGTATATAATATGGTTTGGTGTTTAAAAAAATAATACAACCATAAAAAATAAAAAATAAAAGAAAGAAAAAAAACCCCACGAGCCCTCCACCTCTCCCACATCATTCCAATCGGTGGAACCCATATCAAAAGATTCGTTCTACCTCTCTCACATTACCCAATGTCTCAATCCCATGTCAAAGATTTTATAGTGCCAAAAATATTAAAAAAATCAATTATAATTTTTAATGATAAGGTTAGTGGTGGGCAATGGCAGTAAATGCAGAAAGTGGTGCGCATTACAAGACCATTTTGACACTTGGGAAAACGGAAGGCCCTTTATTTTGGGTTTTTCATTCTGTTTCCTCTTCCTCCTCCTCTCTCACATCTTCTCTCCTATTTGGTTATTTTTCTGTTTCGTCTTCCTTCTCTTTCCTCTGTAAATTTCGTTCTTCTTCGAGTCTAGCTTCGCGAGAGCATGAGTTGCAGATGCAAGTCTGCTTAAACCAGATAGCATGATTTAGAGCAGTGCAGAAGACGATGACAAGAGCTGTGCATAGAGCCGAAAAAGAGAGTTTGAAACGAAAGTTGCAGAACCAGCGGCGGAGGAAAACAAGATTCAATCCGCCTAGACATGCCGCACCGCTTAGAGCGCCTAGCTCCCTCCCGATTTCTGTAAACGATTTGCCCCAAATCACCTCAAGCCTCCACCGTCCAGCGATTAAGCACCGCCTAGAGCGATTTTCAGAACACTGCTTCAAACTGATGATGTGAAATCTTGAGTTTGCCAAGAAGGAATTAAGATTTAATTCAATAGCCCTTCATGGGACCACGCATGAAGTGAGCCAAACGTGTAAGAAATCTTAATTGATACGCTGAAACCAACGCAAATCTTTTCAAAAACTAAACAAATCATAATCTGTCAGAACTAGCATTTTTTTGAACTTCCAGCTAGAACTACCTCAATTTTTCGAAAGCCTAACTAAAACAAACATGTTTTTTTGAAGACGACTAACAAATCATAATCTTCAAAACTAATACCTCTTTTTCAAAGCTTAATTAGAACTAAACGCTAATCTTTTTGAAATTTCAATTAGAACTAACGTGTTTTTTTTCAAAATTTTGATAAATAAATCTCTTGATATGTTGGAACTAACGCTTCTTTTTGAAAGTCACATTGAAACAAATGCTAATTTTTTTAAAAACCCAACTAATACTAACATCTCTTGATATGTTAGAGCTAACGTCTCTTTTTGAAAATCACATTGAAACAAACGCTAATCTTTTTTAAAGCTCAACTAATCCTAACACTTTTTTTTAGAAGCCCCAATCACCAAATCTCATTTTTCCTTTAATTTTTTATTTTCGTTCTTCTTGTTTTTGTTTTTTTCCCTCAAACTACAAAATCAAACTAAACTCATAAGAAAAAATAAAATAAACACAAAAAACAACATGACAGGACACATATCCTACCATGAAGGTTTTTATTTTCCTATTCTCTTTCCTTCAAGGCATCAAAAACCACATACTTTTTCTTCCCTTTTTTCTTTTTCATGGGTGGAAATTTATCTTTTTCAGACAATCGTACATAATCTTCATCTTCAGGTTCATGGTTTGTGGGTGCACAAAGAAAATTAGCTTTGTGCACCTACAGGTGAACGCTCACATCAAAGTTCAACTAAGAATCGAACTTTACTTTGATACTAAGTTGAAAATAAAAGGTTTAGAATAAATTTAGAATTCTCTACAATCACACAATTCTCAAATACAACTTCAATTCTTTATTCTTCTCCGAAATATTTATAAGATTACAAATGAGCAATACTAGGAAATAAATCAAAATAATCTTTTGTCTAAAAGACAAGGAAACCTAAATCAAATCAAATCATGTCAAAATGCTAATTAAACCAAATCACTAATTAAATCAAATCCTAAAATACTTTCTTTTTTATATGGGTAAATTACACTTTCATACCTCAGGTTTGAGGTCTATTTCAATTCTTTACAACATCTTCAAAACATTTCACTTTCATACCTTAAGTACTATTTTATTTCAAAATAAGACCTCCATTACATTTTCCGTCTATTGATCCGTTAAATGCTGACGTGGCTGCCACATATATGCGACGTGGCTGACAAATGTCTGCCACGTGGCAAAAAAATGATTTTTTAGTTTCTTTTTAAAAAATCTGAATTAAAAAAAAAATTGAAACCCATCCCTAAACCTGGCACCCCCTGTCCCCTAAAACCTGCAAGAAGAAGGAGAAGAAGAAGAAGAAGAAGAAGAAGAAGGAGCAGGTGTGGGAACACCACCCCCCTGCGGGACGCACCTGCCTTCTCCCCCCCCCCCCCACCCCAACCCCAATGACCTCTATATTTTTGAGATTTTCACTGCGGGTAAGTTTCGAAAATACATTGAGATTGGGAGTTTGAGTTTGAGATGATTGTTGGATTAATTTTGTGGTAGATCCATCTAATCTCATGTGGGATTTTTGGGGGTGGGTGATGGGGGATTTTTGGGAGGGGTGATGGGGGATGGAAGAAAGGGGTGGCTCAGGTGGGATTTTGGGGTGAGTGATGATGGATGGGAGAAAGGGGGTGGGTGGGGTTTTTTTTTTTTTTTTACCTCCTCCTCCTCCTCTTCTTCTTTTTGGCGGTGGGCATGGGGGGATGAACTGGGTTTGGTCTTCTTCTTCTTCTTCTTCTTCTTCTTCTTCTTCTTCTTCTTCTTCTTCTTCTTCTTCTTCTTCGTCTTGTTGTTGTTGTTGCAGGTTTAGGGATGGGGGTGGTTGCGGGGAGATAGGATGGCTTCTTCTTCTTCTTCTTCTTCTTCGTCTTGTGTTGTTGTTGCAGGTTTAGGGATGGGGGTGGTTGCGGGGAGATAGGATGGGATGGGTTTCAATCAATTTTTTTATTTTTTCCTCCCTTTAGGGATGGGTTTCAAATTTTTTTTTTTTTTTTTTTTGAGAAAATTCAGATTTTTTAAAAATAAAAATCATTTTTTTTGTCACTTGGCAGGCATTTGGTAGCCACGTCAGCACTTAACAGATCAATGAATGGAAAATGTAACGGAGATATTATTTTGAAATAAAATAATACTTAAGATATGAAAGTGAAATGTTTTAAAGATGTTGTAAGGAATTGAAATAGACCCCAAACCTGAAGTTTGAAAGTGTAATTTACCCTTTTTATATTCCAACAATATTTAGGTCTACTACTATTTTTGAGCATGGGAATTAAATTTCTTCCGTCAATTTTGTCATAACATTTCTTAAAAATGGAGGGAAAAGGAAGGTACGAACCTGGAAGTGGGAAAGGAATATAACCCTTTGAATGGAGTCGTAGGAGAGCACTGCGAGCAATGAAATTGGTAGCGCTATTAGGCCGTAAGATAAGGCTTGGGATGCTTAGATTATTGGCCACAGGTTCCGGAAAGTACACGAGTTCGTCATGGATGATGCAGGTGATGTCGTTCCGCGCTTCTTGCTTCATCAATTGAGTCAGGCATTGTTGGAAGCTTTCTTTGCAATTGGCATTAATAGCTAATAGAATGCCTATTGGATTCCCAGACGAAATATGGCCTGCAGTTAAGCCATCTGGTATTGAAAGAAAGGTGAAGTTATGGTGGTTTGAAGGGTTTGGAGAGTTGAAGTGGGTGTGAACAACTGTAATGGAAAAGCCCTTTGAGTGGAGGAAGGCACCCAGCTGAAGCATTGGATTTATGTGACCTTGGTAAGGAGCTGGGACTAACACCAGCGTCCTTTGACTCCTCTGCGTTTTCTTTTCCATTTCCCTCCCTTAATCTTTCCCTCTAGCTCTCTCTCACTTACACATAGCTAGGCACACTCAAACATCTTGCAGCTGGGGCAACCGCTTATTGCTCGACTTTCTTATATAAGTATGCAATAAAGATTACTGCTCTATTTCAGAGAAATTTCGAAAAGTAGCCAACTTCTAGAAATTTCAGACCTTTGGCCGAATTGTTTAGACTTTATTTTAACCACCGGAGGGGTCTCTATCATTCTCGAGTGGGGTGCTAGCGGAAGATCCCTGAGGAAGCCCCGACTAGCTATATATATTTTCAAAACAAATCATGAGACTCTGTATTTAGGTTTCGTGCATTAACCGTATTTTGTTACATCTTAACTATTCTCGTAATCTAACAGCGCAAGACATGGCACAGCAAATTTAATAGCTACTTTCAATTTAACACTGTTAAGTCTAAATAAAATAAAAGTAAAAAAACAAAAACAGTAAAAAACCTATCAAAAGCCACACCCCGACATGAGAGATGATCCTCTCCGGACCCAATCCCACCGGATCCTCCGGATCCTTCTTCTTTAAGGGCCGAGTCGGAGTCGGCGTCGTGCTTTCCCTGAGTCGGCATCGGCCGAAGTCGGCTTCGTGGCCTCCCCGGAGCTAGTTGTCGACAACGTCGTAAAAGTGGTGAGTCGACTCGTCGTTCTAAAGTTTCCCATAAACAAACAAAAGAGTGAAGAAGAAGACTCAAAATTGAAGAAGATTGTTGAAGAAGAAGAATTGAAGGAGGTGAGGAAGCAGAAGAAAAACTGAAGAGAAAAATGAAGAAAAAGGAGGATCCGGTGGGATTGTGTCCGGAGAAGATCCTCTTCCTCCACACCCCCCCCCCCGGCGGGGGGTCGACATGACCCATTACCCAGTCCACCCCACCCCACCGGCGGCAGTCAAAAACCTATTCTTGCAATTAATTTGTTAAAAAGTAGTTTTAGTTTTTTCTATTTGGCACACATGCTTTACACACTTCGATAAGATGTTGCTGACTGAATTTTTGAGGTAGAATTTTATCTTGTTCATAATATACTACAGAGATGCCAGATTTTTATGCAGACTTTGAAAAAGGCGAATTTTGCGAATTACAGGGTTTTATTTATTTTTTATCTTTTATGTAGGCTTAACAGAATTAAATTGAAGTTAACTATTAAATTAGATGTGTCATATTTTGTCGTTAGATTATGAGAATGGCTGAGATGTAGCAAAATACGGGTAAATACACGAAGTCCAAATGTAGAGACTTATAATCTTTCTAAAATCTTAAGAAAATGAAGACATGCTAAAATCCTTAGGCCTGGTTTGTTAGAGAAAATTGGTTTAGATAAGATTATTCATTATATTGAAGAAATTTGGAAGAAATGGACGATAATTTTTTGTTTTCTATCCAAGTTGAATGTCATGATTATAAACAAAAAATCCTTTTAATCCTACGATTTTTATGATAATTAGTAAGGATATCTTTTATTAGTGTGTAAACTTCAATTTAAACAAAAAGTAATAATTGTCATTCATTTCTTGCTTCAAAGTGACTAGTGATGTACAAGTCAATCCCATCTAACAAAATGAGGCCGTAATGTGTTAAAAAGGCTAGTTTTTTAATTTTGCTCTAGTCCTTCTCATTAGGTAGGCCAATTAATTAATAATGTTGTCTATTTTCTTAAATTCTTTAGTACATAAGCATGTGGTTCTCAGCATAGGTTGTTTATATTCTTAATCAAATGTTATATCGCGTGTCTATTCAAAATGTTCGTATTGTGCATGTATTTGTCATGCATGACCTTCTATATAGCGGCCAGATGTGTTTATCAGTCCACGTCTTCTTGGATTAAGATAGGGTATGATTTCTCATTCTCATGCATAAAGAAGTGGTTGAAACTTGAAAATCTATTCCAGCCTACGGGATACTGTGTTTGTTTTATAATAAGAGAAATGCTAAGACTTTCTCAACAGTAGAACTTTATGAATTCTTTGTTACTTTATATTTGGTATAATATTTTTAATATTGCCACGTTAAAAAAAAAAAAAAAGGTTAAATTATGAGGTGACAGAGCGTTCATAGAGAATTCATTTTTAAGAGAGTCACCATTTCTCTTATAATAATTCACTTTTCATGTTCTTATTAGGTATCCCTTTAATAATAATTTTGTCTTTCATTTTAGTATAACACAAAGAAGAAATGAATTGGCAAAATGAGAGAAAGAAGTAAATAAAAGTACTGAAAATTTTTAACATATGCTAAAACTCAGAATGAACTGAGATAGTGTTCATAAGCACAATGTTCTCTCCATTTTTATGTCCCTGAGATTTCCTTTTTTTTTTCCCCTTCATTTTCCCTTCTCCGGCATCTTCTTTCATTAGTCAGGTCAGTTTTCACATCAATTCTTCTATTTATTATCTGTTTGTTTCGTCAGAAAATCTCGTGGAAAATATCGCATAAAATGATTGAATTGTATTACATCCCACATCAATTCTTCTATTTATTATCTGTTTGTTTCCACAGAAAATCTCACGGAAAATATTGCAAAAAATGATTGAATTGTATTATATCTCACATCAATTCTTCTATTTATTATTTATTATCTCGACATGGGCAACTTGCTGGGCATCTTGGGTTTGCGCTAGGGGTGGGTTTGGTTTCAAACAGTTAGGTTTTTTGCTAAAATTGAAACCGAACCGAAGTTCGGTTTTTTATTTTTCTAATTTTTTAAACCAATTCCTAGTCTATGTCTCTTGACTATGGCTTGGGCCTCTTGGTTGTTATTTGGGCCTCTACCCTAGGCCTCCTGCTCATGGGTTGCAACTGCAACGACAGTGTGGATTGCTACTTTATGGCCACGTGGTGGCTGGTGAGCAATGGCACTGGTGATGGTCGTGCTCTGCGACGGTGTGGCTCTTCCTGCCGTCGCATTGGGCCTCGAGAATTGTCGACGTGGGGCTATGTCTTTCCCTCCATTCTCTGGTCTAAGTCCTTGAATTCCGTTCGTCATGGTTTCATTTCTGCCATCGTATTTCTTCGCGAGGGCTATTCCTCTAGGGTTATAAAAAAAAAAGTCTAGGAATTGGAATGTATGGGAAAATTTATGTAAAAAAGAGTAAAATTCGAAACGTGAATGCGAGAACCTTCTTCGAGCGTTTGAATGAAGATCTCAACAAAAGCACCAATCTGTTTGTAATAGCAAAAATATGCCATCTTAAATCTTGACGAATTTGTACCTACAAAATAACCAATATCCTTGATCAAATGCCAAAGCCACACGCGCTACAAGGTGGGGAATAGGGTTTGGTCAATGGATCTTCGATGCCCGGCCATGGGGTTTGGGTTTTGCCCTACACTTGGAGGCATCCTATTAGCCAATGTGTGTCATCTGTTGGAAGAATGATGAAAGAATATTTCCAAGATATGAATTAGGAGAACATATTTTGGGATAATAGTGAAAGTATCCCAAATTGATTGTAAATAAGGATTTCTTACTTATTGAGTTGATTTTCAATTGAGAACGTATTAAAAATAGGATTTAGCAATTAACCCTATCTTTAATACATTTGACTTTTCCATGCCATGAGTATGAGAGCTTTGAGCAATCGTCGTCTACTGCTTGAACTTCTAGGGATGCTGAGCTGTGGATGAGAATATTTGTGCCCTTCCCATTGGGTGCGATCTTGTTTTTATTGAGAAAAAAGTTCATGTGTCGTCTCCAGGATTTTTGGAGTTATTTTTTAGCTCCACATATATCTTTTACTATTCGATTCAATTCTCCAGTTTCGTGATTTTTATGTCCACACCTAATAGCATAAATAGATAACGGTGTTACTCTCTTTTTGTCGAGCAAACCTTACATATCTTTCTTGTAATTATCCAATGTTTATGAAAAATAAAGGCTTTTTAGCAAAATTAGTCCCTGAGATTAAAATAACTCCTCACTTTGGTTCCTGAAATTTGAAATCGTTAGAAGTGGTCCCTAAGTTTGGCCACCATAGTAATCATTTTGGTAATTTCGTGAAAAGTTCTGTTAAATAAAGGTAAAATGACAAAATACCCTCAATTTAATTAACAAATTGACCAAAATGATTTGACAAAAATTGAAGATATTTTTATAATTTTCTTCCTTATTTAAAGAATATTTTTTACGAAATGACTAAAATGATTGATGGTAGACAAATTCAGGAACCACTTATATTGATTTCAAATCTTAAAGGCGGAAGTGATGAGTTATGCCAATTTCAAGGACCAACTTAACTAATTAAATAGATTAAATAACACACAATTACTTAATTTTTCCTAAAAAAATGTTACCCAATTGTGTTAATTGTTTATTTTGGTCAAAATTAATTAGTTAAACACTTATTAATTTAACCATGTCAAACACATCTCACTACTACTGCACTCTTCACCTTCATATGTTGGCCGTGTACTTTGTATCATCTAACACCGCTGGATGCGCCAAAGATACTTAGACAGCATTATCTTATTTGCCCAATGCATGCAGCGCCGTGAGCCACATGTCGTTCCAATCTCATAGGAAAGAAATTAAATAATTAAAAAAAAAAAAAAAAAAAAACAGATAAAGGAAAATGGCAATTCAAATGTTGATTTTTTTTTTCTTTTAAAAATTAAACAGTAGCAGTTGTTGATGAAATTTAGAACTTATTTAGAAGTGCTATTAAAAATGGTTAAAAAAAATTTCAGTGAAAATACTTTTAAAATCAATCCTTAATTAGTAAAAATCTAATTAGATCATAAAGAAAGAATTGAAGTGCTTCACATATCTGGTGCTTCTTTTAAAAAATATTTAAAATGCTTTTAAAACTCAAAATCAATTTCACCAAAACGCTTTCAGTTATTTTAAAAGTAATTTCAAACGATAGCTTGTTTAGTTATTTTAAAAGCATTTTCAGAATCAATTTCAACAAAAATACTTTTAGCCAAAACAATGCGTCAATGTGGTACATTTTTTATACCGTAGTTCGAATTCTTTTTCGATTTATATGAATTTGGTATAATAATAATTTTATCATCTGTAAAAAAAATTAAAAAAATGTAGCAATGAATCACCTTCCACCGATGGCTTTTCAGGTGACTCTGGGACCATGTAGATTTATATTGCCCAGATTACTAATACAAGTAATTGACAATTCCCAAACCAAGATAAGGAAGAATAAAAACACAAAGAAAGAAAGAAAGAAAAATTGGCTATTCAAACGGCAACAATCACTGATGATGTTCACTTGAACCTGGGGCCATGTATAATATAATGTCCAGATAATACATAAATGATAAGATAAATACGTTTGAACGTTGAATAAATAATAAACTGCTTAGTGATATTATGAAACGGTGACAATTTTATCACTCTAATTTTTCTCCATTTGCATTCTTTCTTCTTCTTTTTGTACCTTTTAATTGAGTAAATAAAATCAGAATTAAAACATATAATACCATGGAAAGTATTACAGACATGAAAAATATGGGTGCAAAAATTGCTAAAATTGAATTCGTGTATATTTTTTAAATAATAATTTTTAATATTATTTTCATTCACTTGTTAATTTGCTATGGTTGCACTGTAATTTACCAAAATCCTAATTTTCCCGGTTCAGTTTTACCTTTGTACTACATAGTACAAGGTCCAATGTACTATCAGAGACTCATCAGAAATAGAAATACCCAAAGTGAATGCCGACGAGAGAGCCCTCACTCATTTCAACACCCCAACAGAAGCAAATTTTAGAGAGAGAATTTTCAGAGAGAGAGAGAGAGAGAGAGAGAGAGAGAGAGAGAGAGAGAGAGAGAGAGAGAGAGAGATGAATGGTATGGATCACGGCCATGGCATGGGTGGCATGGAATCACCGCCGCCACTATCGTCATCCATGACGAACGGCACGATGATGATGCACATGACCTTCTTTTGGGGCACAAAGGCGGAAGTCCTCTTCTCCAAATGGCCAGGCACAAACACTGGTATGTATTACGTATCCCTACTCTTTGTCTTTGCCCTAGCGGTCCTCGTCGAGTGGCTCTCCCACTGCCGTCTGATCAGGGCCGGCGGAAGCGACGTCGTTTGTGGACTGGCTCAGACTCTTTTGCATGCAGTTAGGGTTGGGTTGGCTTATTTGGTGATGTTGGCGGTCATGTCGTTTAATGCTGGGGTGTTTCTTGTGGCGGTGGCCGGGCATACTGTCGGGTTTTTGCTTTTTGGGAGTAGGGTTTTTAAGAAGAAATCGGATGTTGATGATAAGGGTTCTGATCTTCCTCCAATGAGTTGTTGATTATGTATTTTATTTATGGAATTAATTAGGGCATATTGGGTTTTGAATTTTTTTACTTGAATTAAATTGTTTTCCAGATTATGATATGAATTTTGTGTGGTGACCCTGAAAATAATTCATTGTTAGGTTCAAAATTTTGGCAGAAATATCCTTATTTTTTTGGTCAAAGACTCTGAAAAGGTTATTAATTATTTCCTTAAGTTAGGTTTCATATGTGTGGTTGTGATTGTGAAGGGGTACGTTGAGCTTTTACAGTCATTTGCCCATGTAGCAGCAAGTCAACTAGTCAAGTCCTTCATCAATTAATGACCCACAATTTCATTAGCTGGGTTTTTATTTTTATTTTTTATGAGGCAGGACCATATAAGACCCATCTTTAAAGAAGATGTCAAAAACACTACATGGATATATAACAGTAACAAATAACATATCGTTTTCTTCAACTGAGATATCAAATCTAACATGTAAAAGAAGACTAAGCTAACATGGATAAAAAAATGTCAAATTTGAAGCTGCTTTCAAATATGATTTTGCTATTTTCAAAGGCATTCCACTTACCTCATCTTAAATGCTAGCACATTTAAATATTATTTTATTATTTTTAAACAAATAACAACCTAACTTTTATTATTTTTATTTAAAATAAACATACATGAAGTAATAAATTTTGGCATATATGGTGCAATGAAAATACTAACGTATGTCAAATTGACAAGTAAGCCATCAAAGAAATTTGATGCTTTGAATTTGACGTCTCTTTTAAAGATGTCCTAACAGCAAGGCAAGTCATCTACGGATCTACCCATGTGTCATCAATAATGACTTCAAATATTTTGAAATTGAATAATGGTAGGGAGGCAATTATATTTTTATAAATCATACAACGTGATTGTTATGATTGAATTATTATTTAAGTATTAAATTAACGTATTTATATTTTATTAATGACACAAATATGGTTTAAAAAATTAATCTATCTATTATTATTCTTTGAATTTGACAAAAGTGAAAAGTGTAAGTTTAATTGATTCCTAGCATTACTCTTCTAATATTACATGTAGGAGTTTGAATACATGTAGGGGAATTGAAACTCGAGGCACTCGAATTTGAGTTCTAACATCGACAAGATATGCTATTTTTTCATTTAAATTTAAGTTGTGTTTGGTATCCGGCAATAGATTCATGGAAAATCTTTTTTTTTTCTTCCAACATTTCCATGAACTCACCGAACATGAATGTTGTGATTATTTAGTGATGAGCAAGGATCGATTCTACAAAAGACATAATTAATTAAAGTAAAAGTAACAACCAAGCTTAAGAATGCATGCTATAGATGAATCTATTTTATAAAATGAAGCAAACAATAGAAACTAAACAAAACCAAACAGTAATAAATAAATACAAAGGAAGAACACGACACTGGATGAAGGATCGTGATGAATTATGGTTGTTGTACTCTATAAGTAGTGAGCTTAAGGTTTTGAAATTCACTCTCAGTCATCCGCTTCTCAAATTAATGCACCTCTTAGGAAAATCAAGACTTTATTCTTGAAGTTAGCTTACATAAAGATTTTGGTCAATTCAATATACAATCTTATCCAAATTCCCCCATAATCATAACAAAAATGCTTGATTCTTGTATGCAACTAGCATTGCCCTATTTCTTTCTACAACCGCGTAGCTTGTCTTTTGTCCCTGATTTTTTTTGGGGTCTTTTGATATAGACCCAGTCAGCTATACTAAATGCAGAAAAAAAAAAAAATTAGTCAAAATAGTCATTGAAATTGTCATAACTCCTTATTTTGGTCCATGACTATAAGATTGATTGAAGGAAAACGATGAGACGAATCAAACACACAAGCTTCACTGTGACCTGAGATGGATTTCAGGCGTTTGAAAACTTGGATGGTCAAAACTGCGATTGTCTTATATTTACAGTTGTTTTATAATTTTCATTATTTCCCGTTCTGTTTTCCTTTGTCGTTAGGGTTTTGCAAAATTATATAAACTACTTTTAGGGCTTGTATTGAGCATCTATCATTCAATGAAAATTTAGAAAACAAGAGTTTCTTTCATAATCTCTGGCATTCCAGATATCTATGGTGTTACAGTCCTAAGACCACACAAGCCTTCTGCCCGCATCGGTTTCATGGGCCCAACTCGCCTTATCTCTTAGTTGACGCCCAATTTTCTCACCCGCTTGATCCAAACTATTATTTTGATACCATTGCCACTCATCATATGACTGGAAAATCTTCCCTTTTTTCCGCTTCTTTATTTAGTTCAAGTGATGCAATGAATATTAAGCATACTAGTACCGTTCTTGTCACTCTTGGTCCTACTAAATTTCATCTTCATAATTTATTCTTGAACTTCGAAAAAATTTATTCTCGAACTTCGAAAAACTCTTCTCTCTATTGTTCGCTATTACGAAAATCTTGTTTCTTTTGTTTTCGTTCCTAACTTCTATCAAATCTATGACTTATATACTAGTTTCTTGCTCTTTCAAGGCTCCTGTAAGGATGGACTTTATCCATTATCCCTGTCGTCTACTGTCTCTGATATCCCTCACGCCTTTGCTGCTATTTCATCGTCCACTTGGCACCAAAGACTCAGTCATCCTTCGTCGACAACCATGTCTCGTTTATGTTCTAATTTAGGTTTGGGGGATGTCAACATCAACAACTTTTTTTATGCGGTCTGTGTTTATTTCGGCAACCTCGGCACATAACCAATACGCCAAACATCCAGCCCGCTCCTAACGTGGTCCGGCCTGGTGTTTATGAGTCGCCACCCAGGGCCCAGCTGCTGGCAGACCCAACTTCCCAACTCACCTAATCCCAGACTGCTTCTGCTCCCTTTTCTGCTTCAGTGAGCCCCGCAGGCCCATCTATCTCAGCTGACCACGTCCGCAATCAGCCCAGCCCAGCCCCGCAGCTAGTTCCACCCCGCCTTTCACCTTTGACACGCGCCCCAGCGCTCCTTCACTCCAGCAACACCAGCAGCCTCTGCCACTTGTCACTACCGCACCCTCACTTCTTCAGAATCTTTTTGTGAGGATTTCGAAGATCTTTTATTTATTTTCGTTCATCGTATATCATGCGATCAGAATCATTGTAAATCTTTTTCTTTAAAATTAACATTACCTGACGAAAACTAACCGCATAATGTACAATGAACATATGTGATCAGAGGATCTCAAGAACCTCACAAAGAGGATCTGGAGATGATCCTCATTCCGCTTAAGCAAGAGATTTTTTTTATTGTGTTTGAAACATGAGTAGTACATCATGTGTTATTATATAAAAATTTCAGCTACGATTTTTGCCAGTCTATTTTTGTTCGAAGAATTTCAGTTAGCTAAAACATTAGGTGACGAAAACTTTATTTTGCCCGACGAAAGGATTTCATCTAGAAAGTATGTCTTTTTTTTAGTGTTTATCACTCTAATTTTTCTTCATTTGCATTCTTCTTCTTGTTTTGTACTTTTTAATTGAGTAAATAAAATGACAATCAAAACATCTAATACCAAGAAAAGTAGCACAGACAAGAAAAATTGGAGTGCAAAAATTGCTAAAATTGAATTCGTGTATAATTTTTTTAAATAATTTTTTTTCTTTCATTCACTTGTTTGATTTGCTGTGGATGCACTGTAGTTTACCAAAATCCTAATATTCCTAGTTCAGATTGACCTTCGTACTACATAGTACGAGCCCCAATGTACTATCAGAGACTCGTAGAAATACGATACTCAAACAACCTATAAATACCCAAAGTCAAACATAGTTAAACAAATTTCTTATGTCGAGTATAAAATTGCTAAAATTGATAAGTAGGTGATTATGTTTGAACTTTGAATAAATAAGAAATTGTTTAGTGAAATTTGATTATTATGATAGGGTGAAAATTTTATCTCTCTAATTTTTCTCAAATTTACATTCTTTCTCCTCTTCTTTTTGTACTTTTTATTTGAGTAAATAAAATGTCAATCAAATAATATAATACCAAGAAAAGTAGTACATATAAGAAAATTAGGAGTGCGAAAATTGCTAAAATTGAATTCGTGTATAATTTTTTTGAATAATGAATTTTCATATTTTTTTTTTCATTCACTTGTTTAATAGGAAAACTAATGAAAATGACTTGAAAACTTTGAATTTTAACGATAAGGACAAAATAAAGGATAAAGTGAATAGTACCAGGTTTGACTTTTTAGTATAAAAATATGATTTTTCATTAAAGTGAACAGTATCATGGGTTTTTCGTTAAAACTCCCTTGTTTAATTTGCTATAGTTGCAGTGTAATTTACCAAAATCCTGATTTTCCTAGTTGAGACAGTACCGGCTTTGAGAGGGAGCAGTACGAGCCATTGCCCAGGCCCCTCAATGTTTTTGCTCCCCATAAATGTATTACTTGATATATAATTTTTCAACAATACCATTTAGTATTACAGTCTAGTGGTATTCCTTTTCACTTATAAGTGAGAGGTCTCGTCAAAGGTGAATTTGACTCACATTATTGCTAGCCCATTGTGAGATTAACTCACTCCCTCATCCACTTAGTGCAGATAATAATTTGTATTTGAAAAAAAAAAATCTTCAACAATAAATAAATAGAAAATAGTGTAACAGAGAAAAAACATATTGAATTATTTTTTTTTCTCATAATTACATAACTCATAATACTGCTTGTTGAGGATGAAGAGATGCATCTCAAAATAAATCTTCAACAATAAATAAATAGAAAAGAGTGTAATAGAGAAAAACATATTGAATTATTTTTCTCTCATAATTCCATAACTCATAATACTGCTTGTTGAGGATGAAAGGATGAATCTCACATTAATAGGTGGAGGGACCTTGTATGGAGTTATAAGTAAGTTAGGCTACTTCCCATATTGATATTGTCATGAGATCATTCAATTACTTGGATTGAAGTGCTAACAATTAGATTCATATAAGACATTTCACATATATTATAATACGATTGTTTTTTAATTTTATTGACATAGTAAATTTAGGAGTTTTATGTTTTTACTGCTATTAGGAATTTTCCTTCACTGTTTCTTAATTGATCATGAGTTTTAATTTTTAAATTTGTATTAGTTTTAACAATATATTAGTTTATTGACATGTGATTTTCACACACTATTTTTATCTTCTCAACCATCTCTTTTTTGTCATCAAATTAAATAAATCAAATAGTTATAACAAGCAAGATTTAACATAAGTGTCATGAGACCCTAAAAAGAGTCTGTTTATCATTTCCCTTGTGCAATGTCTAAAACAAAAATTAGAACTTTTTTTTTTTTCAAGAAAGCATTTTCTTAAAAGATTACTTTACAAGGCTCTATTTGAAATTTTCGCACACGACTCCAGACGGCAATGTTCAGATTTACCTTCGTACTACATAGTACCAGCCCCAATGTACTATCAGAGACTCATTAGAAATGGAAATACCCAAACAACCTACAAATACCAAAAGTAAATGCAGACGAGAGAGCCCTCACTCATTTCAACACCCCCATAGAAGAAATTTTAGAGAGAGAAACACGAGAAATTTTTTGAGAGAGAAATGGATGGTATGGATCACGGCCATGGCATGGGCACTGGCATGGCATCATCACCATCATCATCCATGATGGACGGCACGATGATGCACTTGACCTTCTTTTGGGGCACAACGGAGGAATTACTCTTCTCCAAATGGCCAGGCACAAACACGGGCATGTATTACGTATCCCTACTCTTTGTATTTGCCCTAGCTGTCCTCGTCGAGTGGCTCTCCTACTGCCGTCTGATCAGGGCCGGCGCAAGCGACGTCGTTTGTGGAGTGACTCAGACTCTTTTGCATGCAATTAGGGTTGGGTTAGCTTATTTGGTCATGTTGGCCGTCATGTCGTTTAATGCTGGGGTGTTTCTTGTGGCGGTGGCTGGGCATGCTGTTGGGTTCTTGCTTTTTGGGAGTAGGGTTTTTAAGAAGAAATCGGATGTTGATGATAAGGGTTCTGATCTTCCTCCAATGTGTTGTTGATTATGTATAATACTTATCTGGAATTAACTGGGGCATTTTGGGTTTTGATTCTTGACTTGTATGTGCTTTTTTTATTTTTTATTTATTTATTTAGATCATGATATGAATATTGTTTGGTGAACTTGAAAACAAGTTATTGTTAGGTTCAGATTTTTAGCAGAATTATCTCTATCTTTCTTGTCAAAGACTCTGAAAAGGGTACAATTATTTCGTTAAGTTAGGTTTTATATGTGTTGTTGTGAAGGCCTTTGTATGCAACTGCAAGTCAAGTTCTTCATCAATTAACGACCCAATTTCATTAGCTGGGTTTTTATTTAATTTTATTTTTTCTGAGAAATAAGAATAATAACATTTCATTCCTCTATATTTTGAATTTGACCAAGGGTGAAAAGTGCAAGTTTTAAGGATAATAATTGGGTCTGATTAAAAAAAGCGTAATAATTAGGTCATAACAGATATTTAACACTAAGAACATCTCTAAAGGAGATATCAAATTTTAAACATAAAACTTGAATTTGACAGCCTGTTACATTATAACATTTTTCAAAATTTTGCTCTTCACCCGCTATATCAAATTAAATATTATTTTATTACACTATTTTCTTTTCTTTTCATTTTATTAAACTATTATTTTTTGGGTCTCAACCATTGAAGGCTGATCAGTCACCACTTTGGCCGTAGACGAAATGGGACTGTTTTGAACTGCAAAAACTGATGGGTTGTCGTCTTCATACTTGGGTCGCGGTCTTTTCCTTTTGGGTGTTGCGGATTCAAATTCAGAATCACAGAAAAAATCATTTGGGGTTGAATAATGAGCCCAGGCAAGAAATGAAATTCATCATTACTAAATTGCATCAAATTATAAGCTAATTGCAGGCGATTATCAGCAAACTGTAAATCAAAATTAGAGAAAATAATTAAAAAAAAATAGTAATTAGGGATTCAGTGATGAGTACCTGAAAAATCAGTAAAAGAAGAGATTGGTGAGCAAGAAGGGCAGCATCCACCAGCAAAGAAAGCAGCATAAAATCAGCAGCGGTAGTGTGGCGGGAACTCATTGCAGACCCACCAGCCTCTTCCGGACAACCGAGGCGTGGGAAGAAGAAGGTGAAGTTGGAGCCGGCGTCGACGATGACACGCTCGGCCGAACAGGGTAGGGGGTGTTGACGAAGAGAGTTGTAGATCTGATTAAAAAAATTAGGGATTTTTTGAAATGGGTGGAAAGTAACTAAAAATTAAATTTATTTCAAAAGTTAAAAATCATTAAAAATTGGACCTATTTTAAAAGGTAGTCTATAAAATTGGACCTATTTCAAATTTTCCCAAAAAATTAATAAAAAAATATTTGACATTATTGTCAAATTTGACAGTAAGGAGGAAAATTGTTATTCCATGTCATGTCACATCAGATTTGGCTTATCGATTGGAAAACATTGTAGCTTTCTTTTTTTACTGTTATTGCTGATTTTGACATCTTCTTTAGAGATACTTTAAATTCATTTAAATTATGTTGTAGGAATTCAAAACTGCATTCGAATTTGAGATTCGAACATCAAATAGATATATGCTAATTCTTCATGTTATAAAAATAATTTTGGAATCTAAGATTAATTATAATTTAAGTTTGTGTTAGTATCCGAAAATGGATTCATAGAAAATCATTTTCTTCTTTCTTTTATTTGCATTTATTTTTTTCTCCCGACATTTCCATGAACTTACCGAACATGGATGTTGTGATTATTTACACAGTTAATTGAATAACAAATTTAAACACAAATTTAAATTTCGCAAGCATATAAATTGAACAAATAATATAGTGAGGCGGGTCTTCCTGGACAATCATATTTCATTTCCTCTTTTCCACTATTCAATCTTACAATGACCCGACCGATTTACTTGTGTAATGACGATGCAATGGATATTATCCATACTGGTAGCGTTTCTGTCACTCAATGATTTGCACGGAGCTTCCCAATCAATCACTTTCTTCACCGAATTATTGTAATGTCCGTTTTGGCAACATCTTAGCCAATACACCTCCAATCCAGCCCGCTCCTGACTTGGTCCTCCCTCGTGTTTATGAATCGCCACTCAGGGCCCAGCTGCCAAACCCAAATCCCCAGCTCTCTGAGTCCCAGAGTGCATCCGCTCTCCTTTCTGCTTCAGTGAGCCCCGTAGGCCCTTCTACCTCTGTTGACCACGTGTGCACCCAGTCTGGTCCAGCGGCTCTTGGCCTGCAGTCCATTCCAACGTCTCCTGTCTCTGCATCTGTACTCCAGCAACACCGGCAGCCTCTGCCACTTGTCACTGCCGCGCCTTCACTCCAACAACAGCAGCCCACTTCTCATGTTGCTCCTTCCCTCACGCAATGAACTCATCCTATGGTGACTCGCCTTCGTGACGGCATTTTCAACTCAAAATTCGCACTTGTGGCACTATTCGGTATCCTCTTTCTCATGCTCTTTTACCATCTATTGATTCTGGTGAATCTACTTGTTTCTCTTAGGACGTCAAGCATCCGGGATGGCGCCATGCCTTGCCACGCATGAGGAAATTAATGCCTTGCTCCCAAATTAGACATGGTCCCTTGTTCTTCCTAGTCTTGGTCAGAATATTGTTGGGTGCAAGTGGCTTTTCCGTATCAAGCACAATCCGTAGGGCTTTTTCAAACACTAAAAGGCTCGTCTTGTGTCTAAAGGTTTTCATGAACGTTTAGATATTGGCTATCCGGAAATATTTAGCTCAGTTGTAAAACCGACCACTATTCACACTGTGTTGAGTCTTGCTATTTCCCGTGCATAGCCACTTCGCCAATTAGATGTGAAAATGCATTCGTACATGGGTTTCTTCAGTAAGATGTTTATATATCTCAACATACGGGGTTATTGATCCTGCTCATCCACATTATGTAGCTCATCTTTAGGAATCCTTATATGGCCTCAAACAAACACCTCATGTGTGGTTCCACCGAATAATTTCATTTTTGTTTCGACTTCATAGAAAACCAAAGTCAACCTAATTCTTCCCTGTTTATTTTTCGAAAGCCTCATTGTCCATTTATTTTTTACTCCATCTTGGTGATATTGGTACCAGTGGCACTTCTGATGATATTCTCTCTTAGTTTACTACTCTTTTTGGCCAGCAATTTGACATCAAAGATTAATTTGGGTCCCCTTAGTTATTTCCTGGGCTTACAGATTACACATGATTCTATTAGACTTCACATTTCACATTTCAACTTAAGTATGGTCATGATCCTCTTCAAGAATTCGACATGCTCACGTGCAAACTTGCTTCTACGCCACTTGACGTTAAAATTTCCCTCACCAATTTTGGTGGGTCTGTCCTGGCTTCTCTTACACTGTAACGCAAGTTGGTTGGCTCACTCGCCTTGATATTTCTTTTGCTGTCAATATTGTTGCACAGTATACGAGCTCACCTTGCACTACTCATATAATTGTCGCCAAACGGATTCTCCGTTATGTCGAATGTATAATGGATTAATGGATTTCGGCATCATATTGATCCCTCACTTACTTTTGCTACGTATCTGCTTACTCCGATGTTAATTGGGTTGGTTGTCCTAACACTCACCATTCCACCATTGGCTATCTTATTTATCTTGGTTCTAATCTCATCTCTTGGTACTCCAAGAAGTAGCCGACTGTCTCTTTTAGTGCAGAGGCGGAATACCATGCCCTTGCTCATGCATGTGCCGAAACCACTTAGGTATTTTCCTTCTACATGAGCTTGGTGTTCGGTTATCTTTCCATGTTCTCTTGCACTGTGATAATCTTAGTGTTACTTACCTCGCATTTAATCTGTTTAATCATGCTTGCACACACCATGTTAAACTTGACTATCACTTTGTTCGTGAAAAGGTGGCACTTGGTAGTCATTGAGCTTGTTATATTACTTCCATTGATCAGCTTGTTGACCTTCTTTCCAAGGCTCTTCATCATCAACCCGAGATGGTGTTATATGCTCCAAACTTGTTCGATTAGGCTCGTCATGTTTGCAGAATGTGGTGGTGGTAATGGTGTTGTTAAATAAGAGAATTAATATGGAATCATCTCCATAATTATTCTTTGTATTAGTAGTGTACTTCTCAACTGTAATTAGTGTAAGATTCCTTTCTAAATAGGGATTGACATAACCCCATATATATATATATATTATAAACGACTTTTTAGCCAAAATGGTCCCTAAGATTTGCATAACACATCACTTTAATCTCAGAGATTGAAAATCAATAGAAATGGTCCTTGAGATTGTCCACTATCCATTATTTTGGTCATTCTGTTAAAAACTCCGTTAAGTGGTCCAGGAGCTCATACTGGAAATTAAGATTTTTGGCTAGAAGTTTGGGCAATTTTCAAAATTTCATAACTCAATCGTTTCTTAACCAAATTCGACCTATAATATATCAAAATGAAGATAGGAAAGTGTTGAACAAGATTATACCTACTTGGAAGCCCAATGGTTGTTGGCAATGACCCAAAAATAGCCTGAAAGGTGATTGGTCCGCAGGAAAACTGGAAAACTCGTCGAAAACTGGGTAAAATTTAAATATTCATAACTTCTTCGATACTCAACGAAATCAAGTGATTCAAAAACAAAAATCATACTTCTCAACCAGACGAAGAGAATGGTATCTCTTTCGATGGCTAATCATAGTGGTTTGGCTGAAAAACAGCTCGAAAGTGGCTAACTCGATGAGACCAAGACAACCAATTTCAAACCATTTTCCAGCTAAAACACGACGAGTTAACCTTCGAGAAAGCTACCATTCTTTTTTTCTTGTCGAGGTGTATGTTTTTCGATTTTCAATCATTCGATTTCGTTGAGTATTGAAGAAGTTATGAACGTTTAAAGTTTACCCAATTTTTGGCGAGTTTTCTAGTTTTCCCGCGGACTAGTCACCTTTCAGGCTATTTTTCGACCATCTTCGGCAACCGTTGGGCTTCCAAATGGTATAATCTTGTTCAACATTTTCCTTATCTTCATTTTGATCTATTATGGGTCGAATTTGGTTAAGAAACGATTGAGTTACGAAGCTTTGAAAATTGTCCAAACTTTCGGCCAAAAAATCTCAGTTTCTGGTATAAGCTCCGGGATCACTTAACGGAGTTTTTAATGGACGGACCAAAATAATGGATGATGGACAATCTCAGGGACTAAAGTAATGTATTATGCAAATCTCAATGACCATCTTGGCTAAAAAGCCTATTATAAACTTTGTACAAAACAACAATACAATGAGTAATATTTCTACATATGGTGACTTAAGAGACCTTATCAAATAATAAATTAGGAGGAGTGTGTGAGAAATTGCAAGTGGCTTGTTCGAATCCATGTGTGTTAAAATTTATCCCGTTAAATAATGCAAGTATTGTCATTTTTTTATTTCCAAAAAAAAAAAAAAACACACACACACAACAACAACAACAACAAAAAAGGATAAGTGATTAGTCAATAGGAATGTTTTTTTGTTCAAGTCTGAGGTATCTCACACCCTGATGATAAGACTAATCTCCAAGCAAGGCTCATAAGGCTAAAGATATTTCAGCCCATCTCTAGCCACACTCAAATGACATACGTTCTTCCAAAACTTTTAATAAGAGAATCACTTGTGTTTTTGCCAGATTCGTAGCTCGAACCAATTGAAAAGTAGTTAATTTGTGAATTTGAGTTGTGATGTCAGTTTTGATTCGAGCTTGGATCATTGTGTTTTCTAATCCAAATCAAAACTATATTTGCAGAATTAGCGATGAATTGTAATTTTGAATTGTGATATCTGTTAATTCAAATTGACTAACGTTCGCTATTCTTTTTCCTTAGCTCGAAATTTTATCCGACGTAATTTTCTTCAAAAAAGTTCTTAACAAGACCCACATCAATAATGTGCAAATCTTTGAGTGAAGTAAAGAATTCTGGAGGGTTTTGTATTTTAGTGATAAGGCTGAAAATTGTAATGTATATTTTGTTTCCTATACCCTATGATACTATTGTTAGGCAACATATGTTTTTTAAATACAACTTTTAATTCTTGAAATTTATATTTAGGTTTTGTACTATCTTATAATATTTAAGAAAAAATATTTCTTTCAACAAAAAATAAAAATAAAACATCTTTTCAATAAAAAAGTAATCAAATACCTCGAAATGACTTAAACACAAT